CCCCCCCCCCCCCCCGTTTAGAGTTATGTTCTGACCCATCTATAAACACCCCTCCGTATCCCCAAGTTTACTTCTTGCATAGTTTTGTCCAGTTACTATTCAACACTCTAACTTAAATGTCCCCATCCTTTTTTCTAACCAATTAACCATATTGACTAGTCTATATCTTCGTCACCATTCCAAGAATTTAGTATATAATTTTTAATCCAAGTTGTGAGGAGTAGATTGAACTTACACAATGGGTACAACGATGATATTAGATCCTGGTGACGATCTCTCTTCTCCCCCTCTCCTGACCTATGGTTATATATAACAAATTTGATTTTTTATAAACATATAAACAATATCTATAACATGCAATTTTAGTAATGTTGCATATATCTAATATATGTTGTTATAGCTTATTTCAAATGTATTGAATGTAGTAGGCAAAAAAAAAAGTTGCAATGAAGATGTTTGACTTTGGAAATATATTCATTGTGATAAGAGAAATTTCGGTAGATGTAAATGGAAGGTTTTCTTGACCTTTAATAATAGAATCACAGAGTGTATACTGCGTTAAGTTGGCGTAAAACTATAATATGATATATACATACACACACGCATATATATATCATATATACTAGAGGAGTATAAGACTACATATCAAATATATTAATTAAGGTGATGATGATAAATAGAAACAATGATATGTTTATTAAGATATTAATAAGATAATTTATTTAATAATAATCTCGTAATAAATATATTTTTTATATTAATGATAGATATTTTATATTATGATTTATATTACGAGTGAATTTGAGTTTAACATATAACATATTAATTTTTTATATTTTGAATTACTTATATTATTTTTAAAAATTATTAGAAAAGTAAATTTATTTTGTTATTACAATAAAAAGTTATTTTATTCCCGTTTTACGTACGGGATTCATTTAAAATTATTAAACTAATTAAAAATTTTAAAAAATAAATAAGTAATATTTTTTAATGATAGTTACCATATAATGCATAAAAATAATTACAAATTTATTAGCAATAATTATCATACAATAAGTAATTAGTGAATTGATTAGATTTGATTTAAATTAATCGTAATGAATACGAACATAATACGATAGGTTTATAAAAACACAAATACATTTATGAAAAATTAATATGATCACATGACTTTATAAGAACGAAATGTACTTAGTCTCATATTGCTTGATTTACACATTATATATGTTATGTGTAATTTGTCATATATACATATATATATATATAATACATATATAGTTATAAAGGAAATTAATTATTCCATTCAAGAGATATGTGAAATCCACTCATCATAATGGTAGTTTCTTAATTAGGATAAAAGAATTTATCTTTAAAATTAAATAAAATTAAAGGTGAAAGTTTCTTCAAAAACTATAATGAATTTAATAACATTACACATATATGTATATATATGTATATTGTGTACTATTACATTAAAATAGCAAGATTCTTCTAATGGGTTATTACTATGATGAATTTAATAACATTACACATATACGTATATCGCCTATTATAATATGGAAATAGCAAAATAGTTTAGTAGAAAATGATACACTTACACATATAATATATATGTTTGTCAATGGTATAATAAAATCTATTTGATGAGGTAGATAGGTGTCCCGGAACCACGGCTCTCAAAACTTATTACTTCCCTCATTCTTGGGGAACTACCTAATAAGAACAATATAACATATATATATATATAGGTAAATATAGGGTAAATGTTTGGTATTAAGTTGAAGTTTTTTTAGTTATATTTAATAATTTATAGATATAAAAGGATAATTTATATTTGTCATTATATTTAGATTATGAATTCACATCAAAATTTCAAATATTAATTTTTATTTATTTATTTATAGTTAAACTCGATATTAATGTTAAATTTAAATTTACGGAGTACGAGTATTGGTAAAATGTTTAAATTAATTTCTTATAAACATAATATGAATGGAAAATAATTAACTTATAATATTTAATTTATTACTGTATTAATAAAATTGTATTGAAAAAATAATTTATGATGGTTAAAATTTTTTATTTGATCTATATTTGTTAAAATTAAAAATAATTAATTAGTTGAAACATAAAAATTATATTGGTATAAAAAATGAATTAAAAATACAATGTTGTTTGAACTAATTTATGGTATAAAAATAAAAAAAAAACTAAATATATTTTAAAATACACGGGAAAAGCGCAACATCGGTGGGGAGTCAAAATCCTGTTTGGATGAAAATGACGTGGC